TATTCAAAAACTTCCTTCTTTCCTAATTTTGGTCATCTGCTTCATATGGCTGAAGACCCTAGTATTTCACTAGAACTTTTGAACTCTAATGCTTAGGTCATAAAACTTCTAAAATGTTCTATATTTATTATGTCATAACTGGTGTTTTTTGTACTCCATTAATTTCACGCTCAGTGATGAAAGTCACTCACCTCAGTTATGTGAAACGACCAAATGTTTCAAGGTTCGAGTTGAAAGGGACACACAGTGCTTTCGCTGCAGCCGCCAATGGTGACCAAGGAAACTGTTTAATTCAAAACTATTTTGCACTGCCGATATTAAGATGCAATCAGCAAAGGAGTCGTTACCCGTTCTGAACAGAAAAGGTGCAGAACATAATGCTAATATAACACGTCATATAAAACTCCACCGGAATGATGCTGACATAGGGAGAATACAGTCTGAAATTGGACCATATCCTCGCTCAGATGGAACAATTAGTTGCTGAAGCCGTAAGGTAGCTACTGGACACAGTTGGACTCTCGTCAAGGAAGCTCCAGGGTCTGAAATTCTGAATATTTTCGAATGGAAACAATTCTACTCCAATGTCTACCCTATGTCCCGTGGTCAAGCTACCGTTAGTGTTCTGGCAGAACCGATGGTTTCGGTCAATTGTGATGGTTTCGGCATTAGTATGGCGACATAGTGATGGCAAAGATGGCAACGAAGTATAGCATGTTTCAATTTTCGGAAGTATAGAGTTCAGTCTGGATAAGAGAGATCTTTGTCTTCAACGTGAATTTCAATGAGGAAGGAATTTACCTCGTTTTGCTTCTATGCAACTGCCCAAAAACGGGTCACAAATCGTTGACTTATGAATAGCAAGGACTTAATGGTGTTCTGATGTCTTCGTACTAGAATGAGTGAGAAATACTACCACATGATCTGATGTAAGAGCCTCATAGAACTACAGTTCATTTTGGGTCACCTGATAGCTGTTTCTTTTAAGAGGCAATCTGCAGAAAATGTAATCCTGCCGTTTGCTTTTGCCACATAAATAGGATGTCACGCGGGAGACTCGACGATGGCCTCTCTTTATAGGGTCTAGTGAGAAGTGGCCACAGTATACGTAAGAAGCGACGACTACAGTATGGCAAAAGCACTTCATGTTCCCAGGCTGAAATCCAGACCGTGGACACTTTACCTGCTGACGGTTTGTTTCGACAGGGATACTACTTATACTGTTGCTACAATTATCGAATATTATAACCGATTCTGAAAATCTATAAATCACTTGGAAAATGAAGGCACGACTTCACAGTGCATGAATAAGCGAAAAACGAATTAAAAAAGGATTGTGTGCATGGGCGCATGAGACCGTGCGAATGAGATAATCAGTGAATGATAGCTTAATTCATCCATGCTAACTTGCTATAAGTGAAATGCTTATATTGGAAATTTGGAAATTTGTCAGGTCAGTTTCCGGGTAGCTTATTAAATATTCTTTCCGTTGTCTTCACAGATCTCTCGAGAAGCTCAGCACACTTACAGGAGATATGAATCGAAAACGTTTCGACGCGTTTTAACAGCAGCAGCTTTCCTTCAGCAGAACAGTAGCTGACTGTTGTAATATCTTTATTGCCAGGAATTCTTACCTGTCGATAAAAAAAAACACTGGCAGGGAATGCTATCCGGCAATACTAGTACATCACGAAAAGAATCCAGCGTTAAATTAAACAGCAATTAAATTATGTTTATATATTCATATATTGCGGTTATTCCAGTATTAAAAGTTGATATGCTGGCCAACTAAGTTAATCAGATGACTGTCATCGGTCTTTCCTTTCGCTCTCCCAGCTAACATTACGAGAAACGTACCCTCCGTTAAGTGGCCGCTGATTAGCTCACCGTTTTTGCAATCGTTCTTAAGGTTACTGAAGAGTACAACAAAGCATAAAATAGTTATAGTATTCGTGGCTATCCATACTTCTCCATAATAACTGCAAGAAACTGTTACCTCACGTCTTCTTGAAACGTGAAAAGACACCGCATATTTCATCTCCGAAGCATGTGTAGGTTAACAAGCCTTTAAAACCACCATAACGTTCGCGATTGATGGCGCTTCGTCTGAAAGTAGCGTCGAAAAAATTCTTGAATATTTTAAAGCCTCAGATTGCAGCGAACTCATGGATGAAGTGAACCGCATCATATTCTCAGCCAGATGGCTTCGCATTTTTGGTAGCGCAGATTTCTCTGCCATATTGTTGTTAGCTTCTGCGCCAACAAGGAAGAATTGATTACTTTAGAATGTTTCATGACCCTTTAACGCTTTAACTATGAGGTCTTCTTTGCGAATATTATAAAAATATCGACACTTTTGGTTTATCACAGGCGCCTGTTTATAAGATTCAGTTTTCCGTACATTTGAAATATTTTATGGACAAGATTCTTCCAAAATAACTATTTAATTAGCTGCTTATTTCATGCAGCTCGTTTATTCGTACAACAAGTGACCAAATTTGGCAATAAATGCGGAATAAATAAAAACATAATCATCAAACGGAAGAAATAGAAGTCACATCTCAGAGGTAGTATACCTCAACGACGATGACGGTGGCACCTCTACACTGAAATAGCATGCAATCCGAATCAATTAGCATATAAGTGAGGGTACGTGTCCGGAATCCTTATAAAGTTGTATGGAGTCCAAAGCGACTGCGCCTTCATTCTTGCCATGGTTCGTTGCCGTGAATTTGACCTGTCAACAGATGGGTGATCGGCTGTAAACTCCACGTTTGCATCATGCTTACCGTATGACGTCCAGCTGGACAGACCAGGTCGGCTGTATTCCACTGCCGGTCAGTCGCCCTTATGCCAAGGTAGGACGCGACGCAGTTGGAATCGCCGCAGCACGCTTGCAGTTGTATGCCGTGGGTGGCCTCGTAGTACTTAAAGCGAATGA